GCGCAGCTAGCACCCGGTGCTAATAACAACAGCGCCGGTAGGTACCTCGCTCCCACGCTCAATTGTACTTTGGCTGTGAGCTGCGGGCGCCAGATAAGCCAACATCCCCCACTTTCATCACTTACAGCGCCCATCGTACAGGGCAAATGAAAAGTGTAGCCGGGGTGAAAAAGGTGTTACCTTTACTTAATTATGAATGTTGTTACATCAAGGCCGAAAATTAGGATGAGCACAAACGGTCAAAAATGTTTTTCTCCCTCCCAGAGCTGCCAGCGCAGCGCTTCCCCAGATCTGGCGCCCTAGGCGAACATCTATAACGCCAATGCTAAGGACCGGTCCTGCATGAAAGGGAGCAAGGTCATTGGACAGACAAATTACAAATTCATTTAGGTTGCTTGGTTACTTAAAAGGCTGCGTGACCCGGTCAATGCCATATATTTAAAAAAAAATTGCACCGGCTGCACCGTCGATAGTTACGCCACTGGGGATGCTCCGATCGATTGGCCGCCGATCATTATCAGCCAATGTTCACTCTTAATAGTTTGATCGGTGCTCTCTATAAAGGCCGATCAGCAGAGCTGGAACTGATCAATATGATCACCTGTTGCCCCGCCCGCTGTTTAGCGAGCTGTATGAGAAACTGACCGGCTGTCAGGAGAGAGAGGAAAAGAGAGGCTCCGTTTCTCCCGTGTTATTATTCAAAGTTAATGTAAACTTTTGAATAATGTACTTCATCTACTACGAGTAGTTTGTTTGAATGTAATAATTATGTTGTTTGTGGAATCATTTATTGGAAAATTAATCTGAATTTTTCGATCTGTTACGATTATAAACTGAAGCAATATAAAAATGAGCCCCATTAACCGAGTTTTAAACATCATAGTCCGGTAATTACCTGACGGAAACTCTGCTGCACAATTCTTCTTCTTCTTCTTCTTCTTCTTCTTCTTCTTCTTCTTCTTCTTCTTCTTCTTTCTTCTTCTTCTTCTTCTTCTTCTTCTTCTTCTTCTTCT